ATTACACATATTTAAAAAAAACGTTTTTATGAAAAGTTTACGAATTGATCAAAACGAATTCAATAGTGAATTAAAGCGTTGTATGCAATAGGATCTATGGTGATGATTACACACACACTACGAGATGAACAAATGAATCACAAAACTCAATAATTCGAATGTTTTTTTCTGCAGCTGAACACAAATGAATGAATCTATTGAATAAATGCAAACATCACACAAAATTTGATCGATACATATATTCAAAAGAAATTCAATACCTTCGGTCTAAAATGTGTGACAATGACTAATGTGGAGTAAATGCTTACTTCATGGATCTTGTGGAAATTCGCCATTAAAAAAAGACAATTCGCAAACAAAACCGATATAAACGAATAATCAGTGAATATAAATACGGAGATATGATCCATAAAAACGCACTTGCAACGTAAAAAGGAATGGACAAATGTAGATCGAATCAAAGTCAAATACTACCTCGCTCTTTTTCTCAACGCGTTCCGCTCCACTCGTTCATCCTTTGCGAGTTTTTCTTCAGTTGTCATATTATGATAAGGCTTCCAACGCCCCTTACCTCTCCTACAAATCAACTTACTGATAAATGATTTCAGTCTTGAACTGACTTCAGCAATTCAAATGCATTCCATTCAAATGAAAATGCTATCAATCAGCTGAGAATCACACCATACTACATGCTACAAAATACGAACTAAGCGCGATGTGTGTACATCGATGAGTATGGCATAAAAATGAAGTAATAGAGTTAGAACGTGATTAGGACATAATGCAAGCCTTAAATGCCACTTTTGAAGTTTCAACCAGCACACTTTTGAAATTTGCGCTGTTTAATGCACTTCAACTTGATGAATTATCATTTCCGCATGCGTCATTTTTCGTTATCATTTTTCGTTATTGAAAATCATTGAACGTGAATTTTGCGGTGCTCAGATTTCGTTTAAAATTGAGAAAAATAATGAGAAAGTGCAACAACGGAATGAGTGAGAAATGTGAAAGAAAAGCTCAATAGAAGAAAGGAAAGAATCGAATACAAACGAATGAGAATAAGAAATTCCAAAATTGCAAAAATTAATCACCTTCTACGTTGTTTCCGTTGTTTGGTAAGCCTCACAATATCGGCATCACTCTCAGACAACATACGATGCTCTATAGTACATAAGCGAACATCCGGTAGATTCGGTTCGCCCTGTAGCTCAACCGGACCGGCAATACCGGACGGAGCTAGCTCGCGATCGATGCTGTCCGTAGTAGTTGTAGTAGTGGTAGCGCTGGACTGTTGCTGCTGCTCGTCCTCATCACCGTCACCGTAACGATGGTGATGAGTCGGCGGCTGCCCGTTCGACGATCGCTCATCTACAGAAGTCGCAGTCATGCAGTAGATGAATTCTCGGCAAGAAATGCTCTCAAACGAGGTATTACTCGATGGTATTGTCACAAACTGGCACACCGGACCGGATGGATATATCTAGCGCGTCGTTGAGCCGGATAACAGATCCGAGTTGCTTAATCAACTTATCAGCGCTCAATATAGAGATGGCTCCTCTCTCTCACAGACTCACGCACTATATGCACTACTCACACACAGCAGTAGCAGCACGCAATGAATAGCTCTCTATTTGTGATTGCTTTGCTCTACACCAATTGAACACTGTTCAGCACCCAAAACCTTTCCACTGGTTCACAGAGGCACCACCTCTTGGCTTTTATACGGCAACCGCACCAGCGCGCGGAGCAACTGAGCGAGCGATCATCAAAATGGGACGATACGTTTCACTATGCATCAAGCGAAATAGTGCTGACGAATTCTCAAAAAATATGCTAATTTTTGGCCGTTTTCGGCCTAATTTTTGCCAGAAATTATGGAAAGTTTCAAATTTGCAAATTCTCAAATGCTGATTCAGTGAAAAAAATTTCAGATCTCCGGAAAGCAACAAAAAGGAGGTTGTGAATTTAGTGCGTTGTGTTCGGTTGGATGGTTGTGTGCGTTGTTGAACAGCGAGCAGCAGCAGCAG